CTTAGATACAAGAAACTACGGAGCGGAACACCTGGACACTCTGGACTTCCACGCCCGACACCTAGATACAAGAAACTACGGAGCAGAATACCTGGACACCCTGGACTTCCACGCCCGACACTTAGTTACAGAAAACTACGGATAGGAGCATCTGGAAATCCCATATCTCTAAAAATTGTCACGTAAAATACGAGGAACTATGTTAAAGCATACACATACACTCGTACGTACACCCATTCACACGCGCTCCACATGAAAGCCTTAATAATTCTATATTATTGTGAAAGCAGCCTTATGTCAACTGGAAATTCGGTGTGAACGGTAGCTTCACGTACAAAGTGTATTTGATTGTGTTGTGTATTCGTAAATTACCAACACCATCCAGAGTACAAATAGGTAAAGAAGGCAAAGCAGTCAGCGCCATCTGTTGTGTAAAAAATGCGATGGACGTGCGAAGACGACGACGACGACGACGACGACGACGGAACTGAAATAAAATCATCTCGCTCGCCATTTCAATACGCCCTGATCTCGTACACTAATCGTATTGAACTTGGTGGGAATCGCTTCAGAACCTTCAATTCCTATAGTGAATGTATCAATAACTTGTCCTCATATATAGCGGTTCATAAGATATTTTGTTCCAAACACAGGTATAAGGAGTTGACTCGAGTAAAGAGTCTCGGCGCGCTGCGCCCTGTACAGCCGGTTGCCTGTGCTGGGCGCGAGACTCGACCGAGTCTCTTGATCACTTGAAAGTAGCTATTGAATGCATTTGGAGCAAACCCAAAGTAATGAGAATTTGATTGTGTAAGAAGGCAAATTCATGGTGTGAGATTTCATTGGAAAAATTGTGGCGTAAGATTTGAGTGCTGGAAAATGGTATAAGTGTATGAAAAAAAAAAAAAATGGGCACTACGGAGAATTTATATATTTCGAATGACGTTATTTGCTGTTCGTGGAAAGAATTTGCCGATTGAATAGTCGAAAAATCAAGAATGGCCGAACAATTTTCGCCCAAGTCAAAGGTTCAATTTCAATTGAATTCTAGATCCGATCTTCAGATTGAATTAGCAGCGATCACGAAATCACGTGAATCTGATGATAAGAAATGTACCGATGAGATAAAACGGAAAACTCAAGAATCGAAAGATGCTGATGACAAGGCACATCAAATCGATTTCCTAGATCGTAGGAATATCGACGAATCTCACGTCGATCGATTATCGCTGCTCCTAGATCAGCAATTCTCTTCCTCGCAGAGCGATCCTTCCTCGGATTCTGGATTATGGTTATTTTAATTGTGATAATTTTTTTTTTTGGAAAAATATCACCTTTTTTTGTGTTACACGCAAACAGGAATCTACAGGGGGAGGAAAGGAGCGATAGGATACTGGATCGTGCGGATCATTCCTGGATCGTTCAAAAATGTCAAGTGCCGGGATCTATACCGAAAAATCATTTGGATGTCAGTGCGAAGCCAAAGGATTTGAAAAATGAAACAGATAAAAAATGTATTACAAATTGTAAGCCTTTGGAAGCGATAAAAATCATGGGAAATTCCGGAGTAACGTATTTTGAGAATAATTTGCAGATAACACCGAGATTGTCAAAGATACGAAAAAGATAAGCAACGAATGCAAAGACATAAGAGCACCCGGGGTTAAGGAAACGATCGTGATGGCGAATAATCAAGTAGTACAATGTCCAGGAAAAAAGATTTCAGAAAAGAGTCATCAGCCTTCGAAAGGCACTACAGCGGATTCAACTGTTACGATGAAAACTTTAATGGACGGTATGAAAAATATTTTATTTTATGAAGTTTTTTTCTGTATTATTTGCGAAATTTGTAGAATTCAATGATTTGACGAAAAAGATGAGCTCGTTAAAACGTACTTTGACGGATCTCAGTAGCTGTTCTGTGAATTTGAAACCCCGACACTCAAAATCTTATTCGACCGATGACATCTGTATGATAGTCGATGCTTCTGACGTCAAAAAAGTTATTATTGATTGTATCGCCGAGTTGGCGGCTATTAAAAATTATCTTGATGGCACTGAAAAGATTTCCAGTGAATTTCGACATGCCTTATCAGAGACTGTATTCATTGATTGTTGTAAGGAACGATTACCTCATATTCATGGGGAATTAAAAAAGAAGCCTACTGTTCTTACGTTTGATACTGTACGATGGGAATTGTAATTAATAATAGTTTTTTTTTGTCAATTATTTTTGTAATATTTTATCTTTTTAGGGTCTGCCGCTTTTTAGTGTCTGCCGCGAAAAAGATGTAAATTCTGTGAGAAAAAAATGCAACAGCTATGTACGTGGTAACGAGGATCGTATTGGGAAAAAAATATATTTTTTGAACTTTGTGGTTTTGTCTTAATCGTTGCTTTCTTTTTTTTTTTAACTTAGAATTCTCAACAGAATAGTAATTCTCCGGAGAATTTGGATAATTCTAAACACAAGAACAATTATCGCAATGAGATCGTAGCGAGGCGATTGGAATTGTCGAAGAAAAATGTCGGTTCTGGAACATTTTCGATTATTAAAAAAGAAACGGCTGTGTCTCCTGTTTCTAGTATGATGAAAGAAGCAAAGAAAATTGAAGAAATTCGGAAAACTTCTGCGATCGATGAGGTTGTATTTTCAACCGTGAACACTGAAGTTGATTCGAGAACGAAAACAAAAAGTCATAAATGGTATGAATTTTTTTTTCAAGGTATTGTTCGTTTTTCAAATTTTACGATTACTTCAGGTATTCCTGTTTTTTGGATTGTACCAGAGAACCGGAGGATAATGACTTTCTTGATTCGTCTCACAATCAGGATAAATCGAATGAACTGGTAGAGAAAAAAAACAAGCACGATAAACAACAGAAGTCTAACGAAGAATCAATCCTACGAGAATTGTCTGTGAAAAAGTCGAAAGACCAAAAAATGTTGAATGGCCCCCAAGAAAAGAGTCAAATTGAAATATCTATAGATCAAAAATTGGATTCTTTAAATGTCGTACATCCATCCCATGGGAGGAATAACGAAAAAACAGTAATTTTATTTATATCTTTTTTTTTTACTTGTTGAAATAGTTTTTCAATTACTTGTGGAAATTGTTTCTTTCAGTCCAGTCTGAGTAGGAAACATGAGTCACCATTAGCAATTTTGGAAAATATGGATTTTTTATATGACCATTATACTCGGGATCAGGATTCAAAGAGGCAGAAAGACACGAGGGTCTTTCAAGTGTATAATGCTCTGGTGAATCAAAGTCCTAGTGACTTTAGACAAATTTATACTAGTTGGTTATCACAGCCAGTATTGAATTCGACTATACGCGCTGCGGTGGGACTGAATGTACAACCTGAATTTTCAAAAATTCAAAACACCCTGGGAGCTTCTGTTAAAAACTTGAAAAAATCGAAATCTGTCGGTTTTCTGTATTTCGATAAATCGTATGGTACTTGTACATTCGATAATGAGAAAAAAACAGAGGAGTCGAATATCAAAAAAGTCACTGGAGTCATGGTGATACCTTTTATTTTATTCGGTATAAGTCTTTTCCATTTTGCTAATAATTGTATTAATTGTTTTAGGAAACAACGAAAAGACCTGTGCAGGAGAATCTGCTGAAAGACATTCATGAATTTTTGCATTATTATTTGAAACAACAGCCTGTGTATTCAGTCACGAATTCAAAATTTGTTCGAAAACAATTCCAGCATTATTCTTCTGAAAATCCAAGCATTGTAGGGATGCGATCTACGACATTTTCCTTAAATTCAAAGATATTAAAAAAAAAAAAAAACTTTAGAAAATTTAATTAAAAACAATCAACTGTCCACGTCGATCAATAACGGATCTGCAAATCCTGAAGGATGGTTAAAAATAATAAAGTATATGCAAAAGTATTCAATCTGCTACGAAAACAATATCACTGACAATTCCATTATAAAACCTACCTGCAAACTACCAGAAATATTTTGTGTTTTAAGGGGAGAATTAAAACTAATGAAATATCCAATATCAAGTCCCGAAACAATTTTAACGTCAAAAGTAACTCATATTGCGAATGAGGAGAAGCATTTGCAGAAAGAGATATCCGAAGCCCAACAAGTAGCTAATTCGAAAATTCGTCTTTGTAAAAATGCACAGATAAAACTGCAAAATAAAGAAAATGACATGAATCATACAGAGCAATGCAAGGTAAGTGTAAAAGCATTATTAAATTAAATCGTAGTAAAGGTTAATTTCAAGTTTTAAATTACGCAGACAGTTTGGGCTCTGGCCAGGGTAAATATATTTGACGATGGATTTAAGACATATGAAATTCTGCAAACGACTTCACTTCCTCCCGGAAGAAAGGTCAATGTCAGCAAAGTCAAAGCTATTCGCGTAGGAGAAACGTGTAACTGTGACAAATAATTTGAATGATCTACTGTAATCAAATCACGTTCCATTCATATCCACGATTTTAGATAATGATAATGTCACCGCCATTAACAGTATAAGTTTGCATCTAATAAATTACCATTTTTATTTCACTACTTGATAGAAATACCTCATTATCATACCTGCATATCAGAATTGCATTATCACTCGTTATACTTACAGCATCCTGACTCTTAAAGACCCTTTCCATTTTTCTGTTTACTTCGTACTTTATTCTTGAATATCGTTTTTCTAAACGTCTACCGGTTTGGATAAAACGATACGGGACTCTCAACTTCATCTTTTTTTTTTCGATTTGTATATTACTTCGGGATAAGGTTTCCCACATTTATCGATGTTGCAAGTATCGCTATACTCACCAGACGGGTGTTTGCAGAAATCTGCTCTTCCAAAAACACCATTTCGCTTGGATCTTTGGGTTTCCTTTGTTTTCGGCATATAGCTCAATTGCGTACAAGACGTACTCTCATCGTACATACTCATTTTTACGGACGAACGGACACTCCTTACGCAAGGGGTTGGATTACATGTTTTGTCGTACTTTTTTATGACACTACCATTATCTACCAGCAGAGCTTCAACGGCTTTGTGACGACGCTCAACGTTGTTGGACGCCGTGGCAATTCGTGCTGTATTTTCTACGCACAGGTAACAGCAGCTTTTTGTAAAATCAGACATCACTGCAGACCGATATGTTTCATCGTTAATTAAACTTCTAGTAACGGGAATTTTTTCAGTTTCTAATTTGATGGTTGATAATGGCGTCATTGTTGCTGGAGCTTTGAGTGTCTCAGATTCAAAAATATCATTCTTACTTTGTGGTGTTGATTTTTCTAATTTGTTATGCCTTTTATGGGTCTTATCTTGAATGGCTAGTGCTTTGTTATCCGAAGGCTTTATTGTTGTGGTGGCACTTGTGCCTGTTGACTTTTGCAATGGTACGAACATATCATTAATATTTGTATTTTGCAATATTTTACGTTCCTCTCTAGTTAACTGCTTTTTTTTCCTACAAGACAGTTTGAAACATTGTCTCTTTATGTCCTTACTTTGTACTCGTTTTCTTGGAAAGCATCCCATGCATCCTGGTGATTTATTTTCCGACTGGTCAGATAGTTCTGTTCTGGCAATCTCATTTTCTGAGTATGGATTCATGCCTTTGTGTATTCCTGCAAAGCCTTTCGAATTCTGTTGAGTACCCTGATCATGACATCTAGGTATTTTTTGGAGTTTCTTCAATAACGTTCTTGTGGTCCAGTCATAGTTGGTAGTATTCCAGTGCAAGTACTCGTCTAGTGATGAAATGTTTGTACAGACTTAATAGATTATACCTTTTATGTCAGAAATAATGTAACACATATTACATGTCTTACTTTAGATATAGTAGAATTACCTGAATCTTGTTGATCGACAGGATAATCAATTTGAGTCTTGTGATGTTTCCTCTTGGGTAAATTCTGAGATTCCCTTTGTACATCCTTTGTTGTTTGTCTTTTAATATCTTTGCTTGTAAATGCATGTCTTAAATATTGTTGTGAATCTAAAGAATTGCTTGATCTCAAAGAATCATCAGAATACATTTCTCGAGGCATATTTGATCAATACAATATCGATCATAGCAGCATAAGTTACTCAATTCAAAATAACACTGGTAAATTATTGGTCAAGGGTAAATGGTAGGAACGAGAGTGGCAAATTAAGGATCATGATAAAATAAAATCTTGAAATAATCTTGTATTGATCTGAAATCATATATATATTTATCTCATTTAATTTACAGAAGCAATTCTAGAAAAAAAGTTATAAATATGCAAACACAAGCTTATTAAAAAAAACAGGTTACATGCCATATATTACAATAAGCATACAATAACAAATAATTCTACCTGCTCTACCAAACACTACAATTTACAATCCGTCTCGCCATAGTGCTTCCAAGAAACTGTCAATCTTTCATCCCCTGATCAAAAAAAAACCTTTGTTAACAGCTTCCATCCAAAATCGTCCATATTTCTCGTGGAAAATCCGTCACCAATGGTGGAAAGAAGGTGTCTCTCATCACAGCCCCTTTAATTACAGATGAACCGAGCATAAGGGTCAATGGAAACCGTAGTCACTCGTGCGAGACGACAGGAGCGTAGAAAGTACCCACAATCAACATAATTTTCATTACGATGAATGTCTAGAAGCGTGCTCAAGATGTCCCTAGTGTTCTGCGCCAATGCAAATAATGACGTCACATGGTCGATGTGTCATGGCGTCGCAAGAGGAAAGCACGCAAGCGCCACCTGGCGGCAAGTCGGTGCCCGGAGACAAAGCAAAGGCCGTGGGCCGTGGTCAGGGGCTAGGGGCTTGAGACAAGCAGGGTCCATCAGTAGCAGGACTGGCAGGCGATGGTGGCGACCGCCCGGTGTCGTGTGTGGCGATGCGTCTGCTAAACGTCGAGTCTCGTCCGTGGATAAAAAACGGTCAGCTGTGAAGCGAAGCCGAAGAAGAAGAAAGTTTTTGAGGGAGAGTAGAAGCGTGGATGAGTTCTTTCGGTGCTGCGATGGCGTAGGTAGTTTGGTTAGACGGGGTCGCGCGGCTGGTCCATTGTCGGTCGAATATATAATTCGTCGGCTGTGAGCAGGAAAGCCGTCACGGGATATAAACATAATAGAAGATTTAAAAAAGAATTAACGGTAATAATAATAGTAATAGTAATAAATAAAAGGATATCGTGATACATGTAGCGGGAAATACGTATACGTATTCGTCGAGTGAAAACGCTGAGTGTTATTATTGTGTGCTAGTTTTATCTCGGCCGATTTGTTTGTTGTGTTTGTTGCTGCTGTTCTGCTCCTTATTCTTCTGTGATTCGGTTGTGCTACAGATATTTAATTTGGAGCCAAGCAGGGAATATGGTTACGATGTTCAGTGATACGTGTGGATACGTCCTCTTCCTGCTGCTGCTAGTTCCCTACATTGAGAGCGGTGAGAATATCAACCATTTGGATTTTACCTGGCTTCGCTTAACTATGCTCTTCATTTCATTTTGTACTTGTTTCCATGTATATATATGGCGGTAGACGGAAATACAGCGGGGCACTGTTTTGTTACTACTGTGATATAAACATGTGAAGGGGACAGTACATGGGGCCTTCGTGAATCATCCTTTAGTGAAGAGCGCGTTCCGCGTGCACGAGTCCTGTGTGTACATGGGTGTGTGGGCCTGAATATATGGGCCTGTATATACACACATGTACATATATATCTTATTCTCCTCTTGCGACTACTGTATTCATTATCCTCATACACTTTCCTGTTTCTCGAGCATCCAACTATGTACGTGACTCGCGATCATTCTGGAAATTTCGGTAGCTAAAAGAACAATGATTTCTTTTTCGATTTCATCAAAGGTAGAGGAACCTAGTTTATAGGTGGATATTTTTCTCTGTCGAAGAAATAACCGTTATTTCTGTTACTTTTCTTGGTTGGATGTTCTTCTTTATCTTGCTCGTCATGTTCTCGGAAGTTGAGGATACATACATATTTTTGCCTACGGCTGCTTCGGTTTATCTTACACGGAATTCTGACATTATCATATCGTTTGGTAACGTCAGTTTGTCGATTTATTTTAACATTTTTTATAATTTACTCCGAAACCTCTCGCCGAGTGACCGGTGAAGAGAGGTTTAAAAAAAATATATTTACATATATAGATTATATTTGATTTGATATTGTGACGTTATCGAATAGTAATTCTTCGCTGTTCTCGGCCATATAAATAATCGCTTCGACTCTTTCGCGTTCAGCAAATCGTACTTTGTTCAACAATAGTTCGATTCCGTTTAATTATTGTACGATTGATTCAGCATTGGTGATTCGATTGATTGCAAAGTCATTGTTTATTTGTTCCTCTCTAAGGACCAAAAGTCACTAAATGTACATGGAAAAATTTTTTTGTTACTCCTACCCGATTCTAAGAGGATCGTCCTCCCTCGAACGTTGTCAGCTTCATTAATTATCACTCGTTAAAATTATCAAGAGTCCCCTGGGGTTCGGACTAGCCCACAGGAAGCCAGTATATGAAAACGGATACTTTTCAGAAAATTCTTAATGATTGCATCTGCAACGCAGATGCGTTAACGTTATCGTTTGGTCGCCCATGCATTAGAAATTTGTTGGCCCCTTAAGAACGTGTGGAATAAATAAAAACTTTTTGTAAAATTTCCTTTCTTCATTTTTTGACAGTGACGTCACTCGAGATTTGTTAGTGACTAACTTCTTTGCAGTAAACCTGAGTGATTCTGATATATCATATAACGTCTTCGTAGTTAACCTGCCCACGTCATCGTTACCTCGAAACGATAATGACAACTACTTACACAAATACGAATTACCAACCGGCATTAAACGCGACCTCGTTGAGAAATTGGTTTCGGTTTGAGTTTGTAAGGGGGGGGGGGGGAAGTATCCTTGTAAAAAAATTCAAGGTTACGTAAGTATAAATCAAATTTTTCCTTCGCGGTTCATGCGATTTAATTTTTTTGTATTATACACAAAAAATAATCGTAGCCCCGGACGATTAATGGACATTTCATAATTCAATCGTAGGACAGGATATCAAATGGAGCGATTTTTTTCGCGTATAACTAACACAGAAAATGCTAGAACAAATACATAGCTGCTTATTCCCTGACGAAATTGTTATTATTTTTCAATACGGCACAACGACCAATCGGGACGGCAGTTTTCGTGCATGGGGTAGGAACGTTGGGTATGGGACACGTGTGTATAATGTATGCTGCAATTGCTGCAGTGTAGGATTGCAAAATCGTATGTGAATTCTCGGGTGTAAAATGGCGGCGGGAGTGAATAATTCCGATTGAAATTCTGTCCGAAGTCAATAATTGTTAGTTTGGTAATCGTGATTGTTCTCGAATTACTACTGACACAATTTCCAGCATATCCTTTTCGTCTTTCCTTTTATCCCTTTTCACTTCTCGCGTTACTCCTCGTGCTAAAATACTTCTTCGACCCGGTTCATCCATCTTTATGCGCTTCAACTTTTGTGCAGCAACGGCAGATTTCACGTGTCCCGGGTTCTGGCTTGTGGCTACCAGCAGCAATACAGTCGGCCTCGCTCTTTGCTGTTGGGCAGTCCGAGCTCTTTCGTTAATGAAAATCTTGGCTAAAACTTTCCACTGGTACCTCGCGAAGCGCACGGAGCGCCTCGTGACAACTGACGGAGAGCGAAAAATTGTGAGAAAAAAATAATAAGATCGATACATGCGTGGTCTTCCGAAAATCGCTCGAAGCAGGAAAGAAACTTATCGAGAAATTGGAGATTGTCAAATATTTTTTTTGGCGAACGATTTAATATTTCTTTATTTCTTGAATTTTCGAGCTACGTAATTTACGTTGTCGTATTTGAGGATAAGGACAATTAGATGGGACACGATAATCACGCGATAGGGTTCTATGATCCGTGAGAAATTGCTGAGAACACTCGGTTATCCGGAATGCGGTTTCTTATACGGGCTTTTTTTGTTTTGGTGAGAAACAAAACAAGTTTCTCGAATAGGGTATATACTGACGCTGCAATTTAACAAGGGGCCAATTTCGAGTTTTCTGGTACACTGTGCTACACTACACCAGCGATACCTAGAACGGGGTCGTAAACCTCGTATCAAAAGGTTGATACAAAAAAAAAAATCCAGCAAAGAGAACCAACTCTAAATTACAGTGGCGGTAAGTCTCACGGGTTACTTTATGCCCCGCATATTTTGTCTCGATTTCTGCTAGAATTATTTTTATATGCTGTCAGGTTAGCACGCTATGTGCTTCGAGTAGGTAGAAGAGGGGGGGCAGGCATAGTCATTGATACGGCACTGGTTAGACGGTCCTGTTACGAAGGACAAGCCAGAACGGAAAAGACACGAAACTGTTGTAACACAGCAGCCATTGCGTCAGCTTAACTCGTTAAGCTTCGTTCACATGGAATGCATCGCCGCTGGCACGCATCATCTCGAGGCGAAAGTCATTATTAAAGTAACGCGTCTACGATGTAAAGTGTATCGACGAGTCCGGACGCGCTCGTTGGGTTAGGTTTGGTTTTATGTAGTGTGTTCGCGATAACTCGGCCTGTTCCGGCTACGCGGAATTTGCATTGGCGTGCGGAAATTGCTCGATATTGCTAAAGAGAGATTCGATGCGTATCGCTTTGTATTAATTGGCGAACTTCATGGATGCCAACCTTGACCCAGTTGCACGTCTCTCTCTCTCTCTCTCTCTCTTTCTCTCTCTCTCTCTCTGTGTGTGTGTGTCTCTGTATCTCTGTCTCTCTCTTTCTTTGTCTCTCCCTCTCCCCTCGCCGAACAGCCGTCTTTGTCCTACGTAGGTGATACTGCAAGCGTTCCTGCCTCTGTCCTCTCAGCCTGGTTCAATTTGGAATGGGTTTAATGCGGCGAAGCTTTGCCGCTGCAAGGACCTGTGTTTGTCGCTAAATACGACCCACTGTCTATAGTCATTTACCCATCTTTGATCCTAGGGAATTTCGAAACTTGTACGAATCCCCATCCAAGGCAAACCTTCCATGTTGGTACTTAAGAGCCCGGAGGCTCTTGGGGGTGATTAGGGCGGCTCACTGTCGACTCCTTTGTGTCCTTCATGCAAATATTGCTCCCGCCCCCCTCCCTCACCGTAGTTCCTCGATTCGACACAGTGGCGTCGCCCATGTTTGGTTGTAATTTTTATCCTCGTACGCCTATGGACGCAGGGATCGTTAATCGTCGTTGCGGTGGTAATTAAGGTTGTGATAGATGACTTTTTGTCTTGATATTCATTAAGGTTTTTCTTTCTTTATTTATTTATTTTTGTTTCTCGAGCTTTGGATTGCGTTTTGTATGAATTGTTGGCTTTGTTTTTGTTGGGTGGCGACGGGGAGGGACGAGGGGCGGGTGGGGATGTCTAGGGATTTATCGAAATGGTCCAACTTCGGTCCCACTCTGCGAATACGGCGAACCCCTTAAACCTTTGTGGTTGCGCGTGCTTGCGGTTGGTATCCCTGGGGGAATCTTGTAACGACGCCGACTTAGAAACGGTACCTTCGTAGTTGCTTGGTCATGGAATTTCGTGGCGCTAACGGATATTTATTGCCGACGCTCTTCCAGGAGCTTGTGGCAAATTTTTTTATTTTAATTTTTCGTAACGTTCGTGAAAATACTTTTATTTTATATTTTCTTAGGAAATTGTTGACTTTCGTGCTCCTCGCGTGGGATTATACGAATTTTCGAAAGTGTTTTTGGCATAATCGAATCCGTAGAAAATTCCCTCGAGAGTTAACCGTAGAAGCTTAGGGCTTTGCCAATATTTAAAACTCTCATGTATATCAGCCCCTGTCGACCGTTTGCACCTATAGTACGTTCACTCACGTTCCTCGGTGAATCACAAGATTCATACGTTGGGCGTCCCTTAGGAAGTTGCGATTACGTCACTTTAATTTCTCGTTTCTCTTCAATACCTCATTTCCTTTACACGGCCTCGATAAGCGCAGTCGGACGACGTCGCGCGTTTACGAATTGTCGGCGATTCTCGAAAGCGGTCGCCGATAACGCTTCGATGAAAACGCGACCGCTTGTTTAGATTTGCTTGCTTTCAGTTCGCGCGAGGCGTCGCGACGCGGTCTGTCCGCTCAATCGATTCCCAACAAATTTCCGCTTGGTTCGCTCGTGAAATATGAGATGCGAATTAAAAAAAAAACAAAAGAGGAATTTCCTACAAGATCTTTAGAACTGCATCCGGTGGCAACTGTACTCTTCCCGCTGTTTAAGAGACTCTTGGGGTGGCCTGAAGTTTCAACTGGAATTTTGAGGTGTCTACCTCTATCACCTCCTCCTTCCAACCTAACCTCTTTGCCTTATCTTACCCAACCCGTTCTCTGCACACACAAGCACCCACCCACCGACGTCCATAACACTTGACGAACCTTG